GGCTAGGTTTTGTGTAGAACTGGCAACCTGTCAAATTGTCCCTTAGTCACCTTATGATGTTAAAAGTTGAAGTCAGCACTGATAGTTTGATCCTGGGGGATGAATTCATGGTGCACAACTCTGGGAATGTTGAAGAAAATGACAAGCACCCTCTGCCCTTACATGCCTTCATCAGTCTTGGACACTGCCAGCTCTTCTACTGCAAAGACTATTGTTTGGTCTCTGGGCATCATCCTGGGCCTGTTGACACAGTGCAGTCTCTGCTAGGGAGTCAGGAGCCTGGCCATAAATTTGGCAGTGATGCAGTGCATGTTCAAAATGGATGTGAGGATAACCTTAACTGTTCCAAATGACATGTTGACCATGTCAACAATTTCCCTGAGGGCTATCCAGTGATCTTGATGCACAGTTTGTTCACTTTCTTTGACATTTTTAGTGGTTTTGCTCACATAGGGTTCCCTTGACCTCTCATTGTCATGTGGTGCTGCTTTGCCCATTTTGAAAGTAGCATGCCCCTCAAAACATCTCAGTCAACTCAGTGCTTCATCTCCAAAGGCTTGGTGAAGCAAGGGTCACTGCTACTATTTTTAGGAGTCTGACAGAATTTGATGTTTGTATTCTACACCATTTTGGGATCCATTATGGCGTCACAGATGCATGCTAGTCACTGCTTACAAAAAGGACAGTTTCAAAACTTTATGCTCAGTCCTCATATTGGCTCAGCTGGAGCAGGTTGTCCACTAAATGCAAGGTTGGAGGTTTGACATGTCCTCAGGCGAAACATAGAACACCAAGTTGTTAATGATGGCAGGAGAGCACCTTGCATGGCAGCTCTGCCACCAGTGGTGTATGTTAATGGGTAAATGAGAAACACATTGCAAAGTCAGTCTTTAACCATGGAAGTGGCTGATTATATGATCAGTTTCAATCATGATAAACTCGGTTTAAAATCTATCAAAGCCAAGCTAGATACAAGTAAATTGTTGCTGTCTGTATACAGATTGCACAACAGGTGCATTCTCTGAAACAGGTGGCTGATATGCAGCACATTCAGACATTTGCAGCTGAGTCATTAACTGTAGCTGTTAGTGATTAACTTCCAGTCCTTTATCATGTGTGTTCATGCAGAAAGCATGCATGCGTGGCTAAAAGTAGGTTAATTTTCTACCCAGAGGAAAAGAGGTGACTGCAAATAATTACAATGCTCCATGAGGTGCACCTAGTGATAACTGTAGCAGATAGATTTAACAAGCAGTGATACTAGCCAGACAAGACTTCACATACACACGCATACGCAGCAGGAAAGCATTAAAAGCATGTAAACACAGCGGAAAGCAGGCCACACTCAAATACTTTGTACACACAGGACATGAACCATTAAAGTTGTTTGTTTACAAAGTGAACAGAGGTATGTCTGACTGTTAAAAAAACTTAATGGTTCACAGTGCATCTAGGAGTAGGTCATCGTGCAGTCAGAAGGTTTGCGTACTGGTTCAGCTTTCTCAAGCAAGTCAATAGTCTGACATGGGTCCCACAACAGGCAGACCCTTCGTCTAGATATTGGTAGTTCTCCAATTACAATTTCATTTTGCAGATGCTTTTATCCAAAGCAACGTGCATCTGAGAGCAGATACAACAAGCAAGGATCTAGTCAGGAGAAAAAATCTAGATAAGTGCCATAGAACAAGTTCAAGTGTGATAGGGCGTTGAAGTCAAGAGCAGGCTGTGTGGGAGGTAATAGGAATTTTTGTTTGTTTGTTTTCTTTGTATTCAGTCTGTCAAGTGCAAAGGTGTTCGGTGAAGAGCTGGATCTTTAGTCTTTTCTTAAAGACTGAGAGGGAGTCAGCAGATTGAACAGAGTTTGGTAACTTGTTCCACCACCGGGGAACCACAGAGGAGAAGAGTCTAGCTATCGACCTCGGGCCCTGTTGTGGTTGTATCAGGTGGCTTTTGTTGGTCAAGCGTTGTGAGCGGGAGGGAGTGTACATCCAAACGAGAGAGTTCAGGAAGGAGGGAGCTGTTCTCAATGTAGTTTTCTAGGCAAGTGTCAGAGTTCTGAATTTGATGTGGGCAGCAACTGGAAGCCAGTGAGGCGATCTGAACAGCAAGGTGACATGTGCTGTTTTTGGCTGGTTGAAAACCGGATGTGCTGCTGCATTCTGGATCATCTGCAGAGGTTTGACCGTGGATGCGGGGAGGCCTGCCAGTAAGGAGTTGCAGTAGTCAATACGTGACATTATGGTAGGTTGTACCAGGAGTTGTGCTGCATATACAGACAGGAAATGTCTGATCTTTCTGATGCTGTACAGGGCGAATCGACACGACCGAGCAACAGAGGCCACATGAACCTTGAAGGTTAGTCGGTCATGAACTCGTGATGAAATACAAAAAAGTACATTATTCTGACTTGTATCAACCCTGTTTCCTCCATGCTCCAAGAACTGAAATTAGGTCCAGAACTACTGTTTGTTGTTGTTTTGTCTCTGGCTTCCTCCCACAATCCAAAGACCTTCTTTGGTCAATTGATTATTCTAAATTGGTTATACGTGTGAGTGAACTTGGTTGTCTGTCTCATCATGTTGGCCTTGAGATGGTCTGGCCCAGTGACATGCGGTGGGTTCATGGCTGGTGAGGCACTGACTTCATCAGAATCTGATTTACAAATATATGCACTCTACACAGTAGCATATTTGCCATTTCATTGGCAGCAGTTTACAGGTTATGTTTCATATCTGCATTCTTTACACATACAAGCTGTAACCCACAAAATTCATGTTTCTTTTCTTTTCTTTTTTTTTTTTTTTAAAGTTATTGCTGTCTCACCTTTAAATGATGGCCATGCTCTGCTCCTTCTGGACAAAGTATCCGTTGCTTTTTTGTAAAAGTCTTCTTATCTTCCTTCGCTGCACTTGACTTGCTAACTGTACACCGTACCTATGGTACCTAGTCTAGCTTGCTGTCACTTACTCTGCAGCCACAGAGTTACACACATACAGTTGGTAACAAAAAACACTGTACATTATTACATACACCAGCTGAAATGTGGAAAATCAGTTCATATATTAAATGTGTTTGAATCGTGTTATTGGCGACATCCAGACAGCAGCACGCTGTCACTGCAGGCAGCCAGCGTAGGTAGTGAGGGATTGTACAATCCAAGTGAGGCTGAGCTCGCTGCTGCCTCGCTTGGATTGCACAATCCCTCACTCCGCTGGCTGCCATGCAGTGACAGCCTACATGACAGCCTGTGCAGTGAGAGATTGTGCAATACAAGTGAGGCTCAGCTCGCCGCTGTCTCACCGGCTTCTCTTCCAAGCATTTGAATGGGAAATTGCGAAAATTTAGCAATTTTGAATTTTAAAATCATCAAAACTGACGAGGCTAAATGAAAAAAATAAATACTTTATAGTACAAATCACTGGATAAATATAACCATTTAAGTTATTTTATTATCATGTATTTTTTTCTTCCCGTGATGTCAGGTGAGGCCTCACCTGCCTCCCCTGACCGCACGTCACTGGCCACTGGTCAAGGTGTACAGTGCATTTCGCCATATGGCCACTGGGATAGGCTCCAGTCCCCCCACGGCTCTCTACAGTATAAAGTGGTGATAAAAATCGATGGAATGGATGGATTTGTAATTTGTTTTTAACGTTTTACATTTGTAGCAGAAATGAATGTGAATAGGGCTGATCACCACAGACAGGGCAGACAAGTCAGAAAGTACTGACAGATTGATTAATGCATGGGTTGTATTGGTATTGCTATAGGATCTGTTGACAACAACACATGAAGTTCCTAAAGGTCAGAGGCTAGAACTTTTTGAGGACTACTTAAGCATTACCTCAAAACAAGTTTTGCTTTCCCTCAAAATACTTTTGCATTCCCTCGCAATATCCTTTATATTCCAGTCAAAAAGACCCCTTCACCAACTACAGAGAACAGTAACCATATATACAGCAACAGCTTTACCATCACAGCCAGGTAAAGCAGCTGCAACTGTGCTCACAGTCAGCAGCTGGATACTAGCAGAGATCAACCTTTTGAATAAATAATGAACACTAAATACATCAGTGTCACATCTTCTCTGTGTAATATGTTCCCCCTAAACTGGCAATGTGTTATACCTAGACTTGGGTTGAGAATGTCAAAGAATGTAAAGCAGATTGGAAAGGACAACAAAAAATTGCACAATTTGCCAGGTGGCTGTGACCCTTGAGTGGCTTCCTCACAACATGTTTATCTTTAAGGATTCATCTTCCAGAAACCAGTGCTATCTGTACCAATCTGTAAACAGTCCATGCAATAGTTGAAGAGATCTTTCACTTGGAAACTATGTTCCGGACAAACACATCGCTGTCGCCCCTTAACGACATGTTCCTGCAATGTTTTGGCTTCTTCTTGGTATCCTTTTATTTCTACAGAGATACTACAGCCCCGAGCTAGACTTCAGAGGTAGAATTATTGATCTGAGGAGTTAAATCAAGACGAAAGAACAACTGCATGATTTGTCATGCATTCTGGGTAATTACACCTGTAAGGGGATATGAGTAGATCTCACTTTATTTTCAGTCTTGGAAACATCTGACTGTAGTCATATAGACATCTCAGTCTGCCATCAGTCTGTGTTTTGTAATTCTGGTGTTTGCACAAAATCCATCCCAAAGGCCATTTGCTGCTGTGAACAATGAATTTCCTCTCAGTGTGATGACACCATTGCCTGTTTGCTCTCTTATAGGCTCTACAAAGTGCTTGCCAGCTTCCTCCCTGCTCATGTGATTTCCTGGCAATCTGCCAGACCCCTGTGTCTCCGCCTCCTGCGGCCCATTATGCCGTTGTGCTGCCTGTCCCGTGTGAGACAGGAAGCAAGGCCCTATGGACAGTGACCTCACCACAGGAAGAGAGCAGAGGGTGTGTGTGCTGTGTGTTTGCAGAGTTGTAGTCCTCTATTCTATTGTGCTGCTGCAGGCACTGCACAAAAAGCTTCAAACACAACTATGAAGATTTTCAAAGCAATTTTTAATGTGTACATGTCCAGCATGGCTTGTTAACACACTCAACTAGAGGTGAACACACAACACAAATGTATAAAATCTTACATTTTCTAAAAAATAAAATAAAATAAAACAAAAACACACACTAGCAACCAATCCAAAAACTAATTGGAATGTTATTAACAAAAAAATGTATCAAGTTTTGAGAGAAAAAAATGCACAAAGTAAAATCAAAATAAGACAAATTATCAGACAAACAGTAACCTCAAATGTTTTAATCGGCTACTGCTTTCTTTTTTCTCCCCCTCCACTTCATCCCAGGAAGGGATGAGGGGAGTTTTTTTTGTTCTTTTGTCAGAAAATCACTGAACCACTACTCAGCCAGTAATGAAGACAGAAGGTCACAAGGATCTAGTGTGAGTTCCACTACTGATGGTCAGTACAGAATTACTGAATCCAACAAAATCTACTCTCTACTGTAGCTGCAGTTAGTGGATGGACACAGTTTTCCTAAGCTGGCTGCTAAACAGTTTCAAAGCCTGTCTGAAGCACAATGAGAGCTGATCCACTGCACTGGTCCGGGTCAGAGCGATGACACAGATACTGAGAGTCATTTATCAACCATTTTTTTCTGTTTCAATCCCACGGCGAGTGGTCGAGTTAGCCAAGTGACCATTTAAAATGCGTGGTTCCAGAGTGGATGGAGCTCAGTGAGCGACTTGAGATGCACTCTGGGAAAAGAGAGAAGCATCCGGACAACCCACAATCCCTTGGGCTCGAGTCAGTGCAAGCCACAAAATCGACTCAAATGAAACTGAAACAGAACACAGTCTGTCACGTTCAACAGATTTTTTTTTTCTTCCTTTGATCTTTTTCAGTCTGTTATTTATTGATCTGGTTTATCCCGGTAGAGTTTGGGATTTCGCACAGGGCTGATGCAATGACTTTTTGAAGCTTGCAGTTATTAGCAGTGCAGGAATACGCGGTGACAGTGGGAAGCTAAAAGATAAAAAGTACATAGTGTTGGGAGGACAGACACAGCTGCAAGAATACCTACTTTCTGAATGATTGGGGAGACTTTTAACAGAGATGCTCATTAAAAAAAAGGGGGGGGAGGAAGGCTTAGCATGCAGTGTTTACAGAAACACATCCTGAGAGAGATGAAAGCTCAGACAAGCTCAGCATGTCCTAACCTTACGAAAACTTTGCATCAAGGTCCTGCACTTCAAAATGAACAAGGCTGTAACATAAAAGAACTTCCTCCTTTGCAACCTTGAATGCGGCATGTTGTTGTCCAGGCCGCATTCAACAAACCAAAAAACCTGACAGGTACAGTGTTTTGTAAGTGAATCCCTCCACAGTTGCTGAACAAACTGACTTTGCAGAGTGACACTAGATGTCGGGAGAGACAATAATGTGTTTGTGTGTCTATTTATTAGGGAGAGAGAGAGAGAGAAAACAGGGGGGAGGAGGAAGAGAGTGGAAGAGAGAGAAGGCCATTGTTGTTATTATGATCCCCTCGGGCTTAGAAGGCTGGGCTAAGTATGCCGAGGGGTGGGGATAGAGAGTGTGGGAGATTTACAGTCCGAAAACAGGCCTCGCTTATGGCAAGTAGAACTGATTAACTGAACACCTCCACACACACACACGCGCGCGGGTGCACGCACAAACAAAAATGCATCACTCAGCCTTGAAAGATTTCTTTCCAAACCTTTCAATATTTCTTCTCTGCTCAGTGTCCTGAGACAATGGACTGAACTAAACTCAGTCCTCGTCAGTGTTGTCTTAGAAAACCTGCTGAAACAGTGATTTCAAGGAAAGGAAAGTCAGGTAAACTTGACTTTTTCCACTTTGAAGTGGCCATTTTAGCTTTGAACTCCCTGTGGCTCTGTGTTTGGCTGTTACAGAAGCGAAAAGCAGGTTTGATAAAGAAGAGCTCCATATATAACTTTGTGTCTAGTGCAATGAGTCGGCAGTTTCTGAGCCTGTCCAGACGCTGAGTACTTACTGATGTGCCTGTAGGACCAATGGAAGAGCAGACAGGACAGGGGACAGCAGAGAAGAGGAGGGTGCTTTTAACACTGATTAGCTGCGTCCGCCAACCCCCTCCCTCCACACACACACACAACCCTGATGATGAGGAGGTGAGCGATGGACATCGTTTCCTGGCAACCGCTATCGACCTGCCTCAGATCAATCTCCAGACTACTGGTGACGGCTGAGTCTGTGCTTCCTTCTCTTCCTTTCACTGTTCCATTTAACTTTAACTCTGTCTGCATAGGTGTCTCACTTCAGCCTGTTTTCACCTTGTGGGAACCCTAAGTAGTGTTCATTCTTCAGTCTGACTGGCACAGAGGACTGAGATGAACCTCAAATGCGACCAAAATGCAGGTTTTCAAACATGTAATTGGGCTGGATAAGCACTTTCCTAAAAAAGGTCTGTCACCTACTGTAAACTGAAGTTTTATCTTTGGGCAGCACTGTTGTGGAGCTAGCAGTAGAATTTGGGTCACATGGGCTGTTGCCAATACTCCTTTTCCTCCCACCCCTCCTTATTCCTGAGATCCAAACTTTGCAAGTTCAGGGAGACGAGGTCAACCTCCTTCCCTCTCCCCCCCTCCCCCCTTTCCTTGTCTCAGCTGCAGGAAATTCAGACTCTCCTCACCCTCCCTGTCCACATCTGTGTAACCTGAGCCGGGTGTGCTGAGCCCTCCTCTCTTAATGCTACTTCAGATAAGCCTTCCTCCCATTTATATTTGAAGTCAAACTTCAAAAGCCTTTCACTCATACTCATTTTAACCTGCTTTTCAGACTTGAATTTATGATACTAATAATAATAGTGATAATAATTTCACATTTTTCGCTGATGCTACACAGCACAACATCCTCAATCTTACACATTTTAGCCCCGTTAGTACTATTCAACAGTGTAGTAATCATTTTACAGATTTTCAATATATGGTTCCATGACATCCAATGGTTTCTATTAATTTCCGCACCATATAAAAATCAGGAAGCGGACTTTCATGAGCTACATTATGATTGCGTTTAAAGTTAGTTTTCAAATGAAAATATACTTCAATGGTTGATATAAATGGTTGGAAAAATACATATAGGCATGTATTTGAAAATGGTTGTCAACAATTTAAAAAAAGAGTATGTTCCTTTTATACTGGTATTATGGGTAGTTAAGATATTTCTTTGCACATCTTCATCCTTTCTTTGTTCGTGTAAGATGAAAAGGGAGTGGAAAATGTTGTGATTTGGGGAGTTCAAAGTTTAGAGAAGAGGTCACAGGGGTTAACAGCATTTGCACACACCTGCTGTTATTTAATGAAGAGGATTAGTCTGCGCTCACATGAGCCTTCATGGCCCGAGCCCACCCTGGTGCTTACAGATATCTTCACAGCAGCAAGTCCACAGGTCATCACTTGGGTTTTTTTTTTAAATTGTCCTTTTAAAAAACACTAGCAGTAAAAACCCCATTATAAACTGCATGGTACATTAGCTGCCCTCTGTGACTGCTGTGTTGCATTTGTGGTGTTACATCCTGCCTGAAGTGAAAGGCCATGGTTTGGCTTAGTTTCTGCCTTGTTTTATGTCTCACATGTGCAGACGCAATGAATGCTCCTTCTCTTCACACTGAGCTAAATTGTTACGTTAACCATTAGTCTGTCTCCTCTGCAGCATAAAGAAAAGGTCTTGGAGTTGACAGAAAAGAGGCACTCTGAGAATTAGCCTCGTAATTGAAAGCAAAGGAAAAAGGTCCCCTTTAAAGTCTGTTTAACCTTTCAACCACAAAGGTCTTTAAAAAGTTTCCCAACAAAGAAAAGAAAGAAGGTAGACCTGTTGTCTAACTGTGCAAACACAAAATAAAGACAGAAAATAAGGCAGTAGTGATCTGAACTTAGAGGATAATTACAATTTGTTACAACTTGGGTCTTACTTTCATAGCCATCATTTGTCCTGTAAATAACATAATCATCATAATAATTCCTGACACCGTATCTGGGATTATGGTAAAACTTCCACAACAAAGCCTGATGGAGGAGGAAACATGACCAGTCACAGTAAGAGAAACACACTTATTCCTTTGCAGATGTGAACACAGACAGCTGCGGACCCCAGTGAAACCATAGTTGTTAACATATTACATTTTACGTTGGGAGGACCATCCATGCTAAATAGGTTGGATTCCGTCTGTGGATTTCATGTATGAACACTACTGCCCTGGTAGCATAAGCTGTGTGGACCCCAATTTTTGGGCTGCCCAAGGGCATCTTGTGGAGGGGTCCGCATGAAATCTCATGAGGCAGATGATGAACGTCACGCAAACCCTAGAAGACCCTTGTGTACATAAAATCTAACACTGGCCCTAAACAAAAAACATATGACGTGTTCATCAGCAAAATTTGGTTTGTAGCTTCCTATTTTGCATTGAGACATGACAGTGGTACTGTTCTTGTCATCTCACCATCCACGAAATGTGAACTGTTTTTCCAATGAGACCAGTGTTGTGATCAGCATCACATAAACTTCTTCTCCCAGAGTCTGCTAGGGACTGTGTCGTAACTATGCCCCAGGTGCAATAGGGTGCATGCCTGGCAGTAGTGTTCGTGCATGAAATACATGGACAGTCCAAGTGGACTCCAAGTGAACTGGAAAAGGAAACTGATAGCAACAACTACATGTTCGTGGTGTCTGCAGCTGTCCATTTGTATCCACAAGTCATGGCTTAATGTCAGACTAGTTCGTCAAACAGACAGTTAGATTCTAACTTTGTTGTAAGCTAAAACCAAAAATTAACACTCAATAGAAGTAATCATAATTGCATGCAAAAGCCATGTGTTTCTGGAACGAGAAAACTGGTCTATAAGACGGTTTATAGTGACAAGAAACTGTAATATGTAATAATTTCACTGTCTGCCTTCATTTTATTTTGGCCAGCTTGGGGTTTGTTTTAAAGTTTGTATAATTAGCATTTTTTTTAGAACATCCAAAGATATCCCGATTTCAGCACTTAATATGGCAGATGTACGGCGATTACTACCATTGACAAGTGAATAAAACAGCAAAAATAGAATTGAAGTTGCAATAATCCTTTGAAACTGAGGCACCTCTCATTTGACTAACAGAACTCTTGATCAACCTTCAGAGTTACAATCACAGCCAAATCACTATCTTTGAGAGTCAAAGAAGAACATTATCTCAGCTAATGGCAGGTCTCAAAATACCTCTTGAGTCTAAACTATAATGTCTGACCAAATCCAGTTTCTCTCCAAGCTACCATCCAGCCCTGACATATTATACTGCACAGAAAAGGAAAGAAAAGGGGCACGATGAAGATGATGAGGGAAAAGAAAGAACGCAATTGAACCTTAATTAAAGCACGGAGGTCTGTCTACAAATCTTTTGTAATTCTTTGCATTTCTTTCTTTTGTGGTAACTGAGATAGCATAAACAGATGTCAAGTTATCAGTGAGGAAAATGCCCCTACTGAGATTAGGGGAAGGAGGAAGGCGGGGCAGACACTGAAAAGAGAATAGAATTGTCTTCCTGGTTTAGAAATAATAATTATAACAACAACAACAAAAAGTCACACAAAAAGACCCAAAATAAAAACATAATGAAAAAAAAAAAACTGTGCAAACTTCTCTCATATAAATAGACTACAGTCACCGCATTGTAGAGCACCATGGGAGACAGGAGGAGGTTAGGGTGGTGTGTGTGTATGCGTGTGTGTGCAGTACAGTATTTGCATGGATCTACTACCACATGTACTACGAGTTGCAGGAGCCACTGAGCACAGACACTTGAGACAGATGGATCACTGGGAGGAGGGTTGGATTAGAAGAGGTGGGGGTATCTAAGGTTCAATTCAAGTTCAAAGTTCAGTGCCCCCTAATGTCAGAGGTCAGACCCAGTCCTGCAGCGAGCGTTTGCAGTGCACCAGCAGCCGCGGGGCCCCTTTACTTTGCAGGGTGTTGATGATGGCATAGATGAGTCCCAGGATGCACAGCACCAGGACCAGAGGGATTGTTACCATCAGGATGTTCATGGTCCGCTCCTCGCTGTCATCCACCTTCAGCACCACATCCACCTCATTGGTGTCTTCCTCACGACCTTCGCGATAGTCTTCTTCGTCTTTGTCGTTGTCTGAGCCTTTGCCCGTGTCTTTGTCCGTACCTCCACGATCTGCTCCATCCCTGTCTTTGCCTTTGTCACTGTCACGTCCTACGTCTGGATTGAACGGTGGACGGTTTACATCTGGGTATTTGCGTCCTGAGTCCGTGTCCGTGTCTCTGTCAGGATCCAGGTCAACGCTACAGCCCATGAAGTCTCTCAGGATGGACTTGGGGTACCCTGGTTCGCTCTTCATGCGGTGGTTGTCAAACTTCCAGTACTTGGAACCCTTATAGAAGAAGGTGTACGCTGAAATATGCAAACAGAGCAGAACTCGTAAGCCAACATAACAACATGAAAACAGACAATCTAACTGAATAAGCCTCAATGACCTGCTAGTGGGTTGAAAGGCATGTTATTTTATAAAATCGCCAAAATTACACTACTGCTCACAGCAGAAAACTGTAAAACAAGGAAGAAATATTGTATTTTAAACTTTCCAATGGTCCTTGAACTAATTGTGTGTGACTTTCAGTTTCATTGGTAAAAACAACCAAATCTAAGCCAAATATTGTGATTTTCATCAAAAGCACTTTTCTCATTGAAAAATGTGACAAAAGTAAACTGTACAAAAAATGTAAATTCTGTCCTCGGCGGCACAACTGAGTAGTGATTTGTGATTAAGACACAACAGACACAAGAAAAATTCACAATATAAAAATAAACAAAAAATGTAAGTAGTAAAATATCTACAGTAAGTAGATTCACCATTTTTTTCACCAGCATTAGTGACACTAGTGAGCACAAAATGTTTTCCATAGTGATTCCGGAATTTGTAATTTTTTGTAAAATAATTTTAAGAAACATTCAGCTTTTATATTTTTAGGATTTATGGCATTATGACCACACAAAAGAGATTTTTTGAGTTACCGCTATTTCTAGCCATGATTGGGCTGTTTTAGAGGTGCTGGACTATACATGCCAGTGAAATATTACCTAGATTCTGTTTGGGGTTCAGAGCGTCAGTAGTTTGATATTCAGAAAATCTTGCCAAGTCTTAAAGTACGTGAGATGATTGCCACTACTTCTATAATAATAAGTTGAATAAACAACAAAAGCTGTAATTTTTAGAGGTGATAGTAAGCAATAAATTGTTCCGTAATTAACTTAAACATTTTACTCAAAATTGAGTGTCTCAAAAATATTTTTTGCCTGAATGTCAAGATGTGATCTGTCTTTAATAAGGATTCTGTTTACCAACCAGATCACTGCTCTCAGTCTCACTCCAACCAAGCACAGTAGAACAAAAAGCACTTCACATGTCAGGTCAAATTTATTTCCCTCCAGACATAAATGCACACATGCCATCCCCTCTCCCTCCTCACGATTTAATGACCACACCCTGATTCATTGGTTCAGGCGTGTCTCTGTCTGCCATTGACCCTCTTTGCCTTTTCTCACACACAAACATACACAGAAACCACTCTCCTTGTCTCAGCTTACCGCCATCATCGCTGAGAAAGGCCCCCTTGGGAGAAGAGGGCACTGACGATCCCCAAACGTTGATTGGCTTTGGGTAGCCTCTGTCAGCTGAGCGTGACTGCTCGTTGAAGCGCCAGTACCTGCAGACAGCAGCGGAGAAGATGGTTGCTCTTGTTTATCAACTGTCTAAACAAGAAAAAGAACATTCAAATCTCTTTTGAGTATAAATACACAAACAGGCCTAAAGCCAGTCGGTCAATTGGACTACGCTTAGTGAGGGCTTATGGGGTTTGCAGATCTACAGTGCTGCTATTTGTCTGTGAGTATTTGTATACATATGTTACCTTCATGTTTGCGTTCTACAGAAGTGCAAAGGATGTTTAATATGTTCATAAATCTTTATAACTTTTTAACCAACAACTGTTCAATTAAAGCTTCTTTTTTTCCTCCGCTACAGCTTAATACACATGAGGAAGTGGAAATTCCTAACATAAATTAAGAAGTCTATATATGGAAATAAAAAAAGATGACTGAAAAAAACAGCCAAAACCCATTCTAAATAGACACTGTGTAAAGAGTCAACAACTAGGCTAGTTAATGAGTGCACACACACTTTATATAAAAGACTGATGTCGTCTCCAGTTCTGTAAAGTGAAGCCAACATGGAACACAGTGCTTTAAATTAAGCCAGAAGTGGGCAACTTCTCTTATATAGAAGTCTGTGAGAAAATACCTGCACTTCTGTCTCATCTGTCACTACAGTAAACATTTTCCTCATAAGTTTATGGTGTCAATCACTACTGCTAGAAACTATTGAATACAGCATAATGTTCATTTTGTAAATTATGGCCCCATTTAAAATAAAATAGGCGATTAGGGCGGTTCTACTTTGTGATGATTGTGCATAGTGTTGTCACGTTCTCCAGTCAGCCTTCTGTTCAGCCTTTGCTCATAATGTCAACTTTCAAAAGACCAAGATGACCACAACCAAATGCCAAATTTAACTTTGTCCACAACAGTTGTGCACAACTCAATGGGCAACATTGTGGTCACTACGTCCCTCTTTTTCTTACAGTCTATGTGCAAGCTGGACTTTGAGCTAATATATGTAACATTTTAGAATTACAAATCTTAATTTCACATAGCATACATATTCCAGCTGAGGAAATAGAGAGAGATAGAATGCCGTTACTTCTGCAGGAATTTGGCCATAAAACCAAAAAATTTGACCCAATGATGGAAATCTATACAACATCAGTCCAAATATGAATAACCTAAACAGCCCATTTGGTTCATATGTCCATTTCAGTTTTTCATGTGCACAACTCGATTGAAATAAGCAGTCAGTGTTTATCCAAAGAGAAGGTGAGCTCAAGCTGGGTCTGCAAAAGGCTGTCCCAACACTCTCAAAACTATTGACAAACTAATACAAAATATACTAATATACTGGGTAGCAGATGAATAATAGTGTTTTAATGGGAAGCTGATGTGCTGTGGTCTACCAGTCTTACCAGTCTCCTTGAAAGAAGTAAGTGTAGCCGGATGGCTCCCACCAGATGGCTGTGTCTATTCTGTCGTAGGGAATATCTTGACCATAATCAACCAGCTCAAGTGGATATCCTGGTTCCAGGTTAGCCTCCCTGAAAAGCCAGAATCTGTTTCCTGAGGAGAGGAAAGGAAAATTGCTCAGTGATTCTTTTTGATGCATACATTGGGACATTCCCTGTCCACTCCCACTCATAACATGTATGGACTCTGGAAAGTGTTAACACACACAATCAAAGTCTGTGTGCCATATACATTTGGCTTTACCCACATCATACACATTCAAGAATTTATGTACACAGACACAGTGTGACAGAAATAGAAGTGCTTGTGTGCACACATTTCATTTGCTGGCAATTCTGGATAAGAACAATCCCAGAATCCAAACCAGCATTTACACGCACTTGTAAATTATAAGAATGCGATAATGATTTGCTGGCAAGCAATCAAAAAACACAGCAGAAGCGAGTACGACATTGTTGACTATGGGGTTTGGGTTTGGCTTGTAATCATCCATTACGAGCGGCTTGTCTCATGTCAGGCTAAAACAGACTTCTCGCTGAAGGGAAGGTTTTATTGTTTTTTCACAGTGTCAGACAGGGGGACTCTGTTCCTCCATTACATCTCTTTTTGGCTTCAGTCAGCCCCCCTCCTCCAAAAAAAAAAACCCCACCAACCCATTCATCCACCCACCTACAGCCGTTTGCTCCTTGTTTAAAATGAAAGCTCTACATTCAGCATCTGGAGAGAACAAGAGGTTGATGCAATGCTTCCCAGGGTTCCTGTGTTGCACAGCTCTGATGTAAAATCCCATGACTTATTCCAAAGCTGTCCAAGTCCATGTCAAAGTGCTTCTATGACCAAAGGTTTTGTTTCCATCTTTCTGTGCTGGTTTTCTAAAAGGACAAATAGTGTTGTTTGTGTTACAGCTGGGCTCGCTTCATATAAACACTGCTGTGGATCCTGGTAATACAACAGCGATGGAGCTGAGTTGGATAAAAAAATTCTTGCATGTTGCTATGCTTGCTGCATGTTAAAAACAGACAAGCCTGTTAGTCTGAGCTAACTTGCTGTCCTAACTGGCCTTCTCTCACTTGACATTTCTTACATTGTAAAACTTGGGAAATTTTACCACAAATATATATATAATATATTTTTCACCGTAAAAAATCTGCCCTAATCCAAATAACGATAAGATCCAAGCCAAAGTGTAAGGAATGGGTTACATTCAGTGTAGAACATACACTATGTTGGTATTTGGTGTCCAAACTACAACAAAAGTGTGACTCCCCATAAAGAAACACCAAGCACACCACTGCAGGGAGTAGGAAGTGACAATAAGAAAATCCTTTTTCAGACGTGGGATAGGTGACACTTCTCCTTCCTCAGTCTGTTAAAGTGTTAAAGGTGTTCTGCCCTTTTGACATAAGTGGCTTTAACGTTATTTTTTTTCTGGCTTCAATGAGAGATGCCCAAGAAAGTGACACAGAGAGCCACAGTACATTCGCGTCACTTGTCATATATGTAAAATTAGACATTAATCAAGTGACATGCAGAATAATGCACTAACAAACAAAAGACCGGATACAAATCCATTATGTAACAAATGATTTAACTGCAGCTAATAAACTGCGACTGTGTGTGACAGCTCACCTGTCTGAGGTAAACAGAAGTACACAATTTGACAAAACGTTTGATCCTGGTCCACCCTGTCTACATGTCGCGGATACATTATAGGAAATTAATGAGGTTACTGCTGTTTTGATCTGTGCATATAATGCACACAACCTTCTTTGTGTGGAAAGGCTAACATGGGCCAACTGCTGATTATTGCTGCTCAGAGAAAAGACTCCAACAAACAGCTGGAAGCTTTGCATGACTATCTGGTAATGCAACTGCATACAGTTCAGACTTGTGATTCAGAAACGTCACTAGGTCTGACTCGGTAGCATTGCTGTCATGAAAAATGCCCAGGGTGCTCATTAGACATGAAGCCAACTCGTTCAGATTAAGGGAAAAGGGTCTTTATCTGAAAAGGGCTTTAGACACAGTGGCAGGTGCCATTCCCACTGACTGATGTGAAATGCATGCTGGGAGACTTAAAGTCAAAACCACATGTCAGTTTCCAAAGTAAGCCCAAGAACAAAAGCACATTTAGGCAGTTGAACCATTTTTGGGTTATGAATGATGATGTTTCATACAGGAGCACAAGCACAAGATTGAGAAATGACTGCTGTCGTCAGGGTAACAGAAAGAACTTCACTTGACTGGTTTATTTAAAAGTCCTAGTAACAAACACGTCACTGTTGTGCATGTTCCACCTTGTCTTGTGCTCTCAGGACTCGAAGTCCTTCCTGACTTCTTCTTTTGTCTTGCTCTTCCATTGCTAATGGCTGTTAGACCAGTGTCACACTGAAAGATATGCTCATGACATCAATCTCCTCATCATCAAAAGCTGCCCCAAAGCCTGTAGCTCCCTAGATCAAATAGCATCAAAGGCGGAGTTCTTCCTTTTTCATTCAACAACTTTATCCACTGTTGCTAAAGACAAGCAGCTCTCAGCAACTCGCATTATAAATAATAAGTTGTGCTAAAACAGTTTTATACTTTTCATGTAGAATGCAATATACAGTTGTGACTCAATGATCCGACCCTTAACAATCTGAAAACCTTGCTACCCGACAAGCTTTTAGGAAAAACGAACGGAATGCACATGCGTGTTTAACTAAAATTTCATCACGATATTTCAATTTCATATCATCCCCGAACATTACACCGGTACTACCGTACACAGTATGATATGGCCCAGCCCGAGTGTCACTCGTTGCTATTGTAGCACTGCAAACACTACAGTCACACAAAGTTCACGTCTTTCTCCTTCATGCTAAAAGGCAGCTAAAGGCCTAATTTAAAACCTAGACATAGTCCTAAAGGTTTTTGTTGCTACTGAAAGTCTGTCATGCTCTAAAGGCAACAGCAAATAATACCAGAGAAAAGATATTTGGAACAGGCGCACTGAAGACATTGCTGTTGACTGGCAAGAGAAGTATGCATATTAGGGCAAGTGTGAGGTAACCCCACCAGGTACAAAAGGCAAGCCATTAGGCCACAAAAATAGCAAAAATTAAATAAATCATTGAGTTTGTGTAATTAAAAAGTTTTTTTATGATTTCAAATTGCACAGAAAATGCACAATTACTAGCACTTACTAGCTATTCCATGAACTTTCCTTCACAGTAATTGGCATGTAAATGACAATAATGCCATTGGACTCCCCTATTGGTTACAGTGTACAGATATACTTGCAAGGAAGATAATGGATGTAGAATAGCATATGAATGAATGAAAATCAGCATCCATCTGTGTGTTTGAGTTTCTGCTGCTTACCTTTAAAGAAGACGAACCTGCCGTCATGTCTTTCATAGGCAGCATCTATGTCTCCAGGCAGACCCCTCCAGAAGTGACTGATGGGCATGGGGTAGTTATCTAGAACCCTGTTCCTACGTACCCGCCAGAACCAACGGCCCTGTGGAGACAACATTAAGAAATATGTTTTTGAGTGGGCATTGGTTTCTTATGGCATTTAATTAGTCTTTACAAAACAAACATATAAAACAGGCATACAAGGTGTGTCAGAAAAGCTCCAGGACTGGTGTCACAAAAGATATATTTCAAATCCAAACTACAAAGTACGAGTTTTCCCCTTCAGACGATCAACCAACACATCTACAAAGAGATCCTGCGGCGTTTCCATCGTTCAGTGCGCAAGAAGAGGCTCAAGTTGTAGCAGGACAAGTCGTGGCTGCTTCACAATGACAACGCGCCTGCTCACAATGCCCTGAGCATCTAGCAGTTCCTGGTTGAGGACAACATCGCCCTGCTGGAGCAACCTCCCTACTCATTCCACCTGGCTCCGATTTTTTCCTCTTCCCCACGCTTAAGGGGGTCATCAAGGGGACCTGTTTTAAAGATGTGAACAACATCAAGATGGCTGTGACGACGGAGCTGTGGAGGATCTTGGAAGAATCCTTCCAGGAGTGCATGACGACATGGCAGAGAAGGCTGGGAAAGTGTGTTAGACTCCAGGGGGATTACTTTGAAGGGGAAAACTTGACACATCTCGTACATACAAGATATGATTGCACAGATCAATATGCACAAGCCAAAAACCATCGTCACGAAGGAGTGTTTCTTCTCTACATGCACAAACGTAGCCTCACAAGCACGAGGATGTGACAAGCATAAGCTCAACCCCCTAATGCACCTACAACTGCTCAAGATTTTCCTACTTGTCAGTTTGACTTTTGAGAATTAACAGTGTCTGATATTGTCGCTCCTTTGATTGGTCACTTTCAACACCCAGAATTTGCAGCCTGTCTCTTCCCCTCTGACCTAAATAAATCACCTGCTGTAGCATGTTTCAGTTCTTGAATGATGTTAACAATGACCCCTTTATAATGTGAGTGCTGAAATGTACTACATTGCTTACATAACCAATCAAAAGACACCCCGCAAAGCTTCCAAAGTCTCAAAAGTATACCCGATGAGGAAGCAAGTGGTGGGCAGTTGCACATGGAGCAGAAATGCAAGGAAGGTTTTCTATTACTGCTCTGTGAAGTCCTGTTGTGTTGCATGTGCTTGTATTATGTATTGTTATAGTTTGGGGGAACTAATTAAGTGTAATAGATTCTTGTCTTGTTAGTTAATCCTTTGAAAAAATAAATAAACGTTTCTCTTTTCTTCTGTCTTTTTCAATTTCTATCTGACACTAAAGACCATTGAAATACAGTAAACCCAAAACTAAAATGTCAGAGTTGACAGAGAAACCAACTGACTTCGTATGTCATTCTACACCCTTTAAAACATTTATTCCAATAAGAACATGAAGTGTGAAAAGGATACAGATGGCTGCATTAAGAAAAAGGTATTAAGTCACTTCTCATACGTCAGCTGAATTTAACTATTTATCCAACTGATGTCAGATAGTACTGTTGTAAAGCTTCTTTTTCATTGTGCCAAGCTGACTGGACTCTGCAGCATAACTAGGCCAGAACGTACAATAAACTAACAATAGCAGAACACTAGCTGGCTAATAATAGTCAGTGTCCGCTCTGATGGTTTTATCATGTCCTCTTGTTGCACTCTCAGTGTTGTGACAGTCCGCTTCCAGATAACTTTTTTTCATAAGAACTGTGTCAAGTCAGCAGCACAAAACCAGAGAAATGACCATTAGCACATATTTGTCCAAGCACCGAATGACACTACTACACTACTCTATACACTGTGTACACATCGGGTACACAATTGTCACTAGAAGAATCCTTTATTTTTATTAGAAGTGGCGAGTCAGTGCCCCTACTTGTCCTGGATATTGTAACAGTAAAATGCTCAGTGCTGCTTCTTTCTGGCAAGCTCATCGAGCTTTGTCCTTCAAGCAGGACACTCTGGCAGACAGGACGGCGCGGCATAGTATGGAATGGAACAGACTGTAGGTGTGTTAGGGAGAGGTAACAAAACAGAACATGACTGAACTGGATGCTCTCTGATTTGTGTGGTCTGACAGCTTACATTGTCTCAGATTAGGACTGAAATGACCACACTAGTCCTCAGCAGAACGGACCAGGTCTCAGAGTGGGAGTTTCAATATTAAGTACAGCTCAGTATGCTCTGTTGGCTGTCTTTATGTCCAGACTTATGCGGCAAAGCGCACAAAAGGAACTTTCTCTGCAGAGTGACAGCCCCTTTTTTCTCGACAGGACTGCATGGAGAACAGAGTGTTACTGATGTGCTACTGATAGCTCCCCCTCATGCAATATATAACATAAAATATTTATTAGCAGAGAAGAACAACCAGTAATAACGAACACTTGGAAACAGTAAGGCATCACACTAGAGGAATCAATTACAAACTAGCATGAGGATTATTTAAAAGTGAACAGCACGGTAATGTTCACCTTAAGCCAAGTTCTAGATGATGATACAACATATGGACGACTACCAGTTAGTACTGCTGGATAACATCATGTGATAATGATACCTGAAGTGTGCATGTCACCTGTCAGTCTGTCTCCTTCTGACATACTCTCTCACTATAAGACTATCAAGAGGTAAAAGATGACATGAAAGCATCTACACCCTTTGACCTGTTTCTCTCCTCTATGCATAGTATTTGAAAGGCTTACGATTAAATCAACATTAATGCAACTGTACATGTGCTGATACATACTGCAGCTATCACAGTAGTCACAGGGGCTTTGTGTGACTGGATTTCAGCTCAGCAGGGCTTTGAACAAAATGCGAACTCGCTTACATTATCAACATGCTGGACATACTTTAAATGAAAGGTTTAATGTTAACCATGTTGTAGTTTAGTCTGGTTACCTATGTTAGTCAGCACATAATATTGGACAAGTTCAGATTTTCACCTGATGTTGGCACTAGATGAAACATCACCACAGAGTATGAATGTGTGAACTAAGTTTATAATCTGCTGTTACATATAACTAAAATGAACAATATTTGCTATTTGTCTGTGTTCACTTAGATCAGCTCATCTGTATTTTAAGAACCACTGGCAGGCAATCAGTTGGTTAACTTGGAGAAACTGATTAATGCTGTCCAGTCTTGTTTTGTCACTCTGGATGAAACCCAGGAGCACAGATTTACAAGCTGAAATGAAACCCAGGAGCACAGATATAACTGTTTGACCATGTGCAAGCATATGTCCAGTCAGCTGGATGTCAGATCTTGTAGCGTCTGGTCAGTGTCAAACACACTTACAGCTGAAGATAGAAGACATTCATAGACTGATCTGTTTACTTTGAAGGTCAGGTCTGTGCTCTAGAAGAGACCTTTTAAACCATTCAAACAAAAAAGCAAACAAAAAGCCCAATAGTAATGTCTTACAACTGTTGACATACTGCTTTGCACAATCATTTGCATAATTGTCTTTTAGATCTATAACCAAAACAGTTTTAGATTTCTCACCGATACATGTATTACTTGGGTTTCAGTGAAAGATGTGTTTGATAGTTTGATATTGTTCAGCTGCTACTACTGCTCAAGTTCATTGTCAGATGTCAAAATTTCAGACATAATGGCAACATTTGTGGAAGTGAAACTTTGGCTCCTTTACTGTCAAGTCTGGGTGTTCTCTGTCCAGCTCAGTCTAATATCTGCAAACCTCTTCACTGTTCAGTGCTATCAACACTGAGCACCTCCTGTGACCTCGCCCGCTGAGACACATCATTGCTCGCCTTTGTAGAGCTGGATTTTATATAAACTATCACAAAACCAATCCAGAAGAGGCTAAAATCCACGGGAGGACATGGAGGCATATTTGCTGCTGAAGTTTCAGTAAACTCAGCTCTGAGATGACCACATTGTCTTTTGAATTACTGACACTGACCAGTCACTGTTACCACCACAACTACTGAAAACACATACTGTAGCAGATGTATAATGACAAATGGCCACAGTAATGGATTGCACTTAAAAACAAATACATAAGACATAATAAATAATAAAACCAGTTCATAAAACAGTTTAAGAGAAATCTGTTAGAGGTAAAAACCCAGCAAATAGTTCAGTGCTGCTTCAGCCCTTCATAAGATTTTGTGCAGGTCCACAGGCTCTTTCAGACAAACACCTGACCCCTCCCCCTCCTCCATCCTTTTAACAGTGCTTCATCTTAGAAAAAAAAAAAAAAAAACCCACCAAACTTGTTTGTTTACAATCTACAAGGACCTGACTGAAACCAAACCCCCTGTTGGCCATGCACGCGCCATTTGTCTCAAGGTGATTCTCCTGAAAAGGATAACTAATTTATTGATGCTGTTAACTTGGCAGGACAGCTCCTCTGCTGGAAGCAGACTGAATTTCTAATAAATTAAATCAAAATGTTCCTACTTCCTGATCCTTAAATCAATTACCTTGAAGACAAACATTTCTCCTCGAAGCATAGCAACTGTGTCAAAGTTTCCTTCACAGATGTTGGGTCCATAGTGATCTGGTCTTTCAGTGGTTCTTGGGCGGTCAGGGTGCCGAGGAGGTGACTGAGGTGGCCTGGGCTCTGGGCGAATTGGTGTCACTGTGGGCAGGGCCTGGGTGGGACTGCCGTCTGGCTGACCTTCAGGGATTCACAAACACATTGGGTTAAAGTAAGTGGATAACTGATGAAAGAACACCCAAGTATTTTGGCTGGGATTGGCTTTTTTAGGCACTTTCTAGTTATGTCCTGTGTATGTAAAAAACCTATATTGGTTTCAGAAACCTGCACATGTTACAGGGAATACTCTAATAAAAAACCAGGATACTGTGGCACCTTATTTAGGTTGCCGAACAGTCTTCATTAGTACAGAACGCAGTGACTATGATGATGACAAACATGGATATAGTGATGCATTGACATGAAGAACCAGGTTTCTCATGTCAATTAAAACTGGGCAGAAACTTAAATCATGAGTTATATCAAAAACAAGAACAACTAAATATTTGCTTTTACTATTCAGAAAAATCTCAAAGGTATTTATAAACATTTTAGTGAATGCAATCAACCATAACTAAATGTTCAAATGATCACATTATGTTTCAAGTATTGATAAACATTTGATGATTCCAGAGAAAATTGGCTGCTTCTTCTGATCTTAACATGAGTGTTAATTAATAGTATTGGGTTTACGGCTGTTAGTCAACAAGACATCTACTGGGGCCTTAAGCGACTATAACGGGGATTTTCTCAGTTTAGACGCAGGTGTTGATTAACAGGAAACAACTACTTTTGCATTATTCAAAAAATAAAAAATATCTGCACTTCTAAATCTCATTAATTAAAATGTTACACCTCTTTTGAGTCTAATTTGGCAGCCTAGAAGTCACTGTTTCCACTGAGAAATACCATGGCACAAAATCCACTGTAAAACAACTACTGGATGTTTTAGGTTTACAATGAATGCTTGTTGAGAGATCAGCCCTTTTTCAAACATTTATAATTCATCAATTAAAGAGTTGTAATTGAAGTAGCCACTGCAGCACTTTGGAGGTGCTTTAGAATGGAGCATGCTTTTCATTGATGGTTTCCAACCACAATGCACGAGCAAACCTCAGCACCAGATTATTCAATAGCATGTAGCACACTTCAGCATTCATCATCAACATGCTACTATAAGTGGAATCTATAGTCGTCCTCAAATGTATTCATACCCTTTCATTAAAGAAAAGACAAATTCACAATAGTCGCTCAAATAACTAGAAACTGAAAAAAGTAACAATAAATAAAAAATTGCTAAATTATAATTTTGTGAAATACGACATTGCTTTTGAATTGTGGTTGAAAAGAACAATTTAAAAAAGCTCAAAGGGTTGTTCAACAAAATATTAGTTACAGGTCCCATAATGCTTGTTTGCTTGTTGTTTTTTTGTTGTTGTTTTTTTTTTGTATTTCTGTTGAACCACAATTCAAAAGCAATGTCATGATTTTCATTAAATTATTTATTATTACTTTTGTCAATTTCAACTTATTTCAGTGACAGCTGTTTTTTTTCCTTCTTTAATGGGAGGGTATGAATAAATTTGAGGACGACTGTGTAACTACCTTCTACGTCCTGTAAAAAGTCACAGATAGCCTTTCAGAAACAGCAACTGGAGCCTGTGTGTTTTTCCATGTTTGATGTTATGGCCAAAGTATCTGCATTGCAAACTGAAATGTAACCATTGTAATCAGAATCAGAAATACTTTATTTATTCCCGAGAGGAAATTTTTTCTTGATACATGCACGTTTCCTGCCCAAGAATAAAGATAGAAATATAATAATAATAATAACAATAAAAAGAGTGAAATAAAAAAAGAATAAAAAGATACATAAAAGGTAATAGATAAATAAATATCAAAGTACAAAAAATATCAACCTCCAAAAAAAAAAGAAAAATTACACATATATGCAGTTAAGGCATAAATTGTATGAAGAATATGAGTATACTATGAGCATAATATGAATGGAACCGCATACATGTCCACATCAGTCAGTGCAGCTGGATTCAGAAACCATAAATTGACCTCAAAATCAACTGGACACCAGAAGGTGTCTGTAAAAAACATGCAAAACATCCTACCATAGATCTGTTGTATGCCCCGCCGGTCATCGTCAGGCAACTGGAAGTCCTCCGTCTCCATCCATTGATAAAAGGGAGCCATGATAGCCAGGGGGTTGTTGGAGTGTTCTAAACCCAGGGCATGTCCCAACTCGTGGACTGCTACCAGGAAGAGGTCATTACCTGTAAGAATTTGAGACAAATTAGGAGAACTAAGCAGGGGGTATCTGACTTTGTACAGAATGAGAAAGGCTACATCAGTCTCTCTGGAGTTACAGATATCTTACACATAAAGGACAAAAAGTGCTTCTACATATATAACACACATTGGCATGTGTGTTATATGACTATACAATTCATTCTTTTCTCCTAGTTGTGAAGTCAACAACAAAATGTGGTCACAGATGACACATACATCACCCACAGTCATGCTAATGATTGCTGATACGAATCAATACACATCCCTCTCACTTCAGTCAAGGCATGCTGTCCACTGCCACTGCAACAATTGTACAATGACAGGGCAACAACACAGCTGTGACACACTGATCACTGCATCAACTTCCTCTCAACACAAAGGAGTATTTGGAGATTTTTTTTAAAGAAAGTAAAACCACAGCAGACCAGGTTTAGATTTGACTAGCATATTCCTTTAAGTTCATCTGTGTAGTGAAGCCAGCACACAGCTGGATATTTCCCCTCACTCAGTGCCTCTTTGTTGTTGTGGCACCCAGGGCCCTGGCCTGAGTGAACTTTGAACTTGCTTGCAATTTTGTCTGCCCCAGGAAGGGCCATACGGATTGGTCAGATTTGTGCCACTTACATCATGCTGTTGGGGCACTCGGTGATGTCACTGCTGTGCATGCAAGAGAAAGGGAGAAGCCTGAGATGCCTGTCCTTGAGCATCTCCTAATCTCCTCTTTGAAACACACACAAGGACACACACAGTTCATCTCCCCCACCATCTATAATTTCAGAGTCACATGAATGTCCTCATGGTGTGCTAAGCTGCAGCTAACACTCCTGGGGAGAAAACAGCAGAGGGAAAGACAGAGCACTAGAGATAGCTGAGAATGAATGAAGAGAGTGAGAACTCAGAGCAGATAAAGAGACCTTTTGAAGGTAACCGTGACAACCAAGAGTAAACTTCAAACATCTTAGCACAGTTAGAAGTTCAGCCAGTGCATCTATTGCTGACTATCCTACACACACACACACACGCACGCACACACACACACACACACACACACACACACACACACACACACACACACAACCATTTTTTGTCAGTGATGTGCTCTTTAAACTCATTGTGTATTTGTTTACCCCATCTCACAACCTATTCATCAGCAACAGGGGACTTCCAGCATAGAAAAGGCTGACTAAAGCAGCACCTCTGCTAACCAAATGGAATTTCCAAGCTTGTCCTATCTTTTGCCAGAAACTTGCTCACATCAGTCTCATCTGACCACAAAAGCTTCTGACCTTATAATGCTACTGGCCTACAGTGTTCCGTGTTTTTGTGTAAGGTGTTTTTGAGCTATTTGGATAAAGTGTAACAGCTGCTGTTGTGTAACCATCTGGGCCAGAAAGGTTGATTAATCACATTGTGCGTCACGTGTTTTACACCAAAAACCTTTACCCCAGTAGAATAGTTTTTCACCCAAAATTGAGGTCAAGGATAGGGAGCAACAACACAAAAACTGCAAAGAATGGATGAAATGGATTTGTGCTTTTACCATTAACTGCCATCATTTGAATGTTTAATGTTTTAGTTTGGCGCCATTCAAAAGAAGGTCGGAGGTCAGGACCATTTTTGTTTCGAGGACAGGAGGAAAGCTGCTTACTGAGGCCTGAATTCGGCTCTCCAAGTTTTTAGTTTATACAACTCCACAGCTTATAAACAATGGCAGTTCTGAAGGAATGCCCTTATATTGACTCAGTTCAGTTCTACCCGGCCCCTCTGGTCGTCAGTCCAAATACACGGCCGCGCCGCATCTATGTCAGCACTTAAATTAACAACATTTATATTTTACTAAATATAGGGTCAGCGTCAGTAAAAAGTTTGACTAGTTAGACATGTGTCGAAGTAAAGTCAAGACCAGCTTGTAATTTGGTTGTACTTTGCTTTTAAGCTGTGTAAGTAGCGTGGTGCAACAAAGGGACTAGTCTCCAGATCTCCCCAAGTGGAACACACTCCCACTTACTGTGGCATTCAACCATCCCTGAGATCTGTCCTGCAACACATCCCACACACAGCTGATCACACGGATACAGACATACGCACACACATACACACACTCATACATGCACACACAAAGCATAGCTGTCAGCTGTGTAGATAACAGGGTAGGAAAGCCCGCTTGGCAGGTTTAATGAGTGCACAGTAAGAAGAGGACCTCTAAGAACAAAGATTCTTAAAAGTGAACATACATCCATTATCTATAGGGTTGTGGGGGGGCTATCGCAGCCAACTCAGGGTGAAGGCAGGGGACACCCTGGACAGGTCACCTGTCTATCACAGGGAGAGACAAACAAGCACACTCACATTCACACCTACGGACAATTTAGAATCACCAATTAACCTCAGCATGTTTTTGGACTGTAGGAGGAAGCCGGAAAACCCGGTGAGAGCCCACGCTGCACAGTGAGAACATGCAAACTTCCCACAGAAAGATCCCAGGTGTCCTGGGACGAGAACCAGGGATCTTCTAGCTGTGAGGGGACAGTGGTAACAACCGAGCCACTGTGTAGCCCTAAAAGTGAACATATTCATTCAATCTTCTCTTCAGCATGTGATTAGCTTTGTGTTGTAGAGCTGTAGGGTTTATCTTAACTAAAGTCTAACTGTTGAGCAAGAAGCATTGAGGGAAGGGGTTAGGTTTAGGAAATGATTTTACAAAATTTGTGTCATAAGTACAGTTGTCTTCAAATGTATTCATACCCTCCCATTAAAGAAGGAAAAGAACAGCTGTCACTGAAATAAGCTGACAAAAGTAATAATAAATAAAAATTTAATGAAAATCATGACATTGTGTTTGACTTGTGGTCCAACAGAAATATATATATATATATATACACTGTATATATATATATATATATTCTTTTTTTACGTTTTTTTTTTTGGCCTTTGTGCCTTTATTGGATAGTGCAGTGAGAGAGAGACAGGAAAGTAGGGGAGAAGAATGGGGGAAGGATGTGTGGGAAAGGGCCACGAGTGGGATTCGAACTCATGACCTAGGGACTGTAGCCCTATACATGGGACGCCAGCTCAACCAGGTGAGCTATAGCAGTGCCCCAACATAAATATTTTTTTTAACAAAAAAAAAAAAAAACAAGCGTGATGGGACCCGTACACTAATTTTTTTGTTGAACAACTCTTTGAGCCAATCACTGCAATCAAGTGTTTTCTGTAACTCTCAATCAGACTTCTACACCTGTTGACAGGTATTTTTGATTTTGGCCCACTGCCTATCAGCAAAGTGCTCTACTTTGTCCGGGAAAGTTTTGTTATTTTATTAAATTAGAATTTAGCAAACTTTTTTCAGTTTCTAGTTATTTGAGGGACTATTGTGAATTTTGCCTTTTCTTTATTGGAACGGTATGAATACATTTGAGGACGACTGTACAAATATTTTGTGTGTGCCTACTGCTGCTTGTACAGATCATGATGAATTGATTTAGTGGATTAGTGTAAATCAGTGCAAAGTTCTTTAAAAAAAAATGAGGATAAATTTGAGAACTTTAATGACGTGCAGTTGGGAAAAAGACTGTGTATCGTTAACCAAATGCACACATTAAAGTTTTACCAAGGTAAGTGGAATAACAGAGCCTGACAAATGAGAGATGATGTCGGTAGTTGAATAATGCCAACTGTTATGTGTAGAAGAAAGGAAGGTGGACAGCTGTTTGTAATCGACTATATTGATACATTGCAACCTGCACAACATGACTTGACTCCAGTGCTGCAAACTGCTCATTTGCTAAAAACGGAAACTACTCACCAGAACATTTCCACCAGAATATTAACCACATAACTTGCCATATCCAAACCATTAGAAAAGCTCAATCGGCTATTTGTGTGGCTGTGGCACAAAAATGTTACACAACAACTCAACTTGAGCAGCTAACCATCCACCCACCAATTGGGACAGTCCCAAAAACCTTTCGGGAAAAATGTTTACTGTAGATTGGCATGTTGGGAAATCATTCTTTCTAATTCCTTTTCGCTGTAACTTTTTTACCGGCAAAGCATTACCTCTGAAATCCCTAAAATGCATTCTTTACACATTTCAAATTACACTGACAGTAATGATTTACCTTGTACATTCTGGTTCCCTATGGTCCATGGTTCATCAGAGTCAAAATGTGTGTCCCCGCCCATTCCAGGTCCAGGGAAGTAGGCATGAGCTAGGAAGCCCCCCTCCCCATCAAAAGGGGAGCTGTCTCCATGAAAACCTGAGGCGAAGAAGATCATGATGTCGGGCTCCTTGCGGCGTCCATATTTGATCTCCTGGTAGGGGATTTCGTCAAAGGTCAATGGGGTGACCCTCTCCCAGACTTTAAAGGCCCGCCGGATGGCCTCGTATGAGTTGTACTCACCAATTTTGGGAGTGTAGTTCTGAATACTATGGGAACAAAGAGAGCAAGAGGGGAAAAAAAAGTAAAAACCTATTTCTTTGTAGACTCATAAGCAGTTTTAAGTTTTACACTGTTAGCATGTTGAGATTTCAGCAAGTCTGACAACGATTATAGCAAAAATATCTTAAATTTAAGCAAGCTTTATCATTTTAAGGTCAAGCAAGGTCAAGCATATGCTACTGTTTGTATTCTGTGCTTTCAAAACATTGTATTTTATTGTAAATACCACCAATTTGCATCTTATTGTAAATGCTAATGATTTTTGCACATTTCTATAAATGCATCTCAATTGCATGCTCTTTTGTACATTGTTCCTGTCAGTCTATTGTGTGTAACATGTGTGAGCTACTGTATACCTTGACGTTCCCCGAGGTGATGAATAAAGTATCTATCTATCTATCTATCTATCTATCTATCTATCTATCTATCTATCTATCTATTTATCTATCGATGTGTATCAAGTTCCCTGCATAATATGCAGGATCATTGGCAGGAATGCATTCTCAATACAGAAACTAAAAAATGGCAAGCCAAAAGCTGACTAAATGTAAGTCCCAACTAGGAATAGACTGTTTTACACTACCAGTCTCCAGCAAAGTAAGACTTTCTTTGCATACTGTTCATTTGTGACAGGTTACATTTTCTGATTTGTTACCTGTATGTGAGGTGGCTCTTGTTCCATTTATGTCCAGTGAGGGCATAGCGTTTCCGCCGCACATTGGTTTTGATCTGGCCTCCAAACTTGTCAGGCACACCACAGCGGGGTCTCCTCATTGCTCTGAAGGAGTTGAAAGAAGTCAGGTGGAGGCAAGAGGTATGTGTGTGTATTGAAAGGAAGAAGCACTCAAGAGAAAAGATGAAGGGGAGCATGGTGTTGAAACGCCTGCTTTTTCCAGTTGATGTCTGTGTACTTTTTGTGTTGTTTAATTTAAAGTATACCTATGAAGTTCCTAGTGCAGTCAGACTACTGAGGTCTTCTCAAGCAACTAGGGAGAATATGCACCTTGCTTAACAGCAGTTACTGAAGAAGGGAGAAAACAATACAGATTCTTTAAAACCACTGAGGATTTTTTTGTACATTCTAGGCCAAACAAACCTAATTGAAACATTACAATTAGCTGTAAAGACAAAATCTGGGTCTCCAAACATGCTGCCTGGCAGCATAGTGAAGGCTGGTCCATATTTTTAAGTATGTCTAAATGTACAAAAACATCACAACTATGCCCTGCTGACCTGATGGTTTGAGAGTCCATATGTCCTGTGACCTCCAGCCCGTAAAACCGCTGCATGTCGCTGATGGCATTAGACAGGATCTGAGCTGATCGCATGGTCGACATCTGTCTGCTGGCCTGGGGTAGGTAACCGTACATCCTCAGCCATGACTGGAGACACACAGGAGGGAAACACTGAAAATTGCTGCAAAAAGGAGGATTATCTGTCATGCAATCTGATGCACTTAAATCTAAACTCATTATGAGAAAATAAAAACTGATCGTGAGAAGGAATATTTCAACAATTAATCCCATATAGAATACTCTGCACAGATATGCCTGTCAAGGGACTTTTATATAATCAAGAAGTAAATTATGAAAAGAAAGACATTGCTATGGAAACAATTCTTTTATGAGCACATGAACAGTTTGTGTTGATTACAGCAGAGAACACTGAAGACCATAAAGTCTGTCTTCTCCTTAGCCTCAGCTTTTGTAACACGGGATTATTACTCATATTTGTTATTTGATCTTGAATGAGAGTTCATTGTTCATTTTAAATGTATTTAACTGTGAACTGAGTTGCATTTAATGTTTTGTATATAAAAAGAAGAAGGCAGGGAGGAGAACACAGTGAGGCCTACTGAATCTGATGGTACTCTGGGAGTATGAGACCAGGAGGGCTGGGGGGGTTGGGGTTAATGACAGACTTGAGGGAGAAAGCGTGATACTTGACCCAATCACAGATGACGTAAAGGCTATCCCACCTGTTATGTAGAAACCCAATATCACATGCGTAGACACACACACACTCTCACACAGAAACGCTCTCGCATATTGGGTAGTCTGGGATACTAGATACTCCTACTCACGGTGCAGTGGGTGTCTCTAAAGTGTGTGTCTAAGTCAGGGTGTTTGCTCATGCCTGTATTGTCGCTGTGCAAATTTTCTGTGTGCAGGTCTAAGTTAACATCCATCTTTCACAATTCAAAATACTACCTGATGCCTATATTTACTTACCCACTCCTTTAAAGCCATAAAACAAACTCACCTCTTTCAGTCTTTCTCTCTTACACAGTTCTCAAGCTCTGTATGTAATAAGCATTGTCGTGACATATCTCTACTGCCCACCAACTAGTTAGGTACTCCTGACCCTTTGCTGTTTGTTTGCTGTATGTCCTGTACAAACAAAATGTCAACACAGTCAAATGAAAACAAACTAGGCTTCTCTGACTTTCTTTGATTTACACTGTTTACTCTCATCCTGAGAGACACCTACAAAAAAAGAAAGCAAAGGTGCTCTTCTTTGCAATCGCTTACTGATGAAAAGACCTGATATTATCAACACATCCACTGAGTAACACATTAAAATCAGCCCAGCTAGTGATATCAAACCTCGACATAATGTTAATCTGAGCACGTTTCTACCAACATTCTCCGCGGGAAAAAAAAAACATTGCCTGGTTGTGTCCTTCTACCATTAAACAAGTCCTTACAATGCTGCTGTGATTAATCAGCGCAAAGTGAACGCATAATGCCTGATCGATCAATCACTGTCAACAGCTCATCTTAGTCTGACAGATGCTGAAGGCGTCTCATCCTTTGTGATCAATTATTGTAGGAGATGATGACTGTCACTCATTAAATATATGGCCTTTTTGAGCAGCACCTCTTCTCTTTTCGCCTGAAGGTTACGTTTTTACATCAAAACAGTCTATTAGGTTCTTTGATGAGAAAACTCGAGGAAGGTCATTCAGTATATATGCAGATGATAAATATACAGTAAGCTTGTTGCTTGAGTGAAAGATGCAATTAGTTTATTGGCCTTCAACTTAAGTCCTGTTACTGTGCATGTCCTTGTTGTTTCTACATAAAGTTAGAAAACATATTCATAAAAACTTTTTTTTTTTTTAAATGAATGAAATCAGTGACATTTCTTAAAATCGAAGCACTCCTAGTAAAAACATTTGTAGCTCAAAGGTACAGTGTAGTGAGGCAAAGTTCTTTGTTATGCTACACCTGAGACTTTGTCTTTACAGTCTATCCTATGGCCATCAGGAGGTTAAAGATTACAATCCAAAGTGTTTAAGCCCTCAGGCTTTGGAAAGCTTTGCCTGAGGAGCTGCTTTGTGTCGGTTCTACAAACACATTTGTACAGTCAGGCGGTTATGTGGGGAGTTTCTTGTTCCAGCAGTTTTCATTCACTCACACACTCTCACGGGTTTTAACTGATGCCTGCTGTATATTTGTGATCTAATTACCTCCTATTTACACAGAGATCATTTTCCTTTGTATGTGAAGAGCTGTAAAAAGATCTCTGGATATTACGTGTCATCATTATCTGTCTTTCTGGCAGTGCAAGGATGTACTGGATGTATCAGCTCTGTGAGTGAATGTGTGTGGTTGTGTGTGAATGTGTTAGACCAGAAAGAAGTGTAGAGAAGGCTGAACTGGACATGACCTTGACCTACCTCTGTCTTAAGATAAGGAAGCTTGAAACACACCCATTGACACACACACAAACGTACATTTCCTGAAACACTAAATTCTCTCTCACCCTCCCACTCCCCCACACACAGATACTCAAACTCACATACACACAGTAACGCTCTTCTTCTCAAACACCTTTAGCATACCTGTTTTCACTGTTTAGTTAGGGTTAGGCCAGTGTTATACTGCAAGGTTGCAAATACAAACCACTCCAAGAACAGCTAAAAATGTGTGTCTCCACAGCGGCTACGTCACAAGGGCAGTAAGAGGTATGCTCAGAGGTAGTGTGTACAGGTGGAATGTGTGGATACGACTTTTTAGCAAACTAGAAAATATCGTAATAGCAACAGCTATGCATCCCTGTTGTCTGCTGCAGGGGGGGGAATTTGTGATAAAAAATTTATATCTAATGTGTTTTTACATAGCTGCTCCCTAAAGCTTTAAAACAAATGTTTCACCTACTAAAACAGATCATTTGGCAAAACTAAAACCTCATTGTCAATCCGTGGTTAAACACAGACAAGACACATTTTGTGAATTCTCAGGAGTGCAATCTAATTATTAGAACTGAAGTTGAACCTTTTTTATTCTTGAAATTGGCAGTTTACCAGAGCTCAATTTGTTACTGAGTGAACTAATCTAACAATGATTTTATGTTCAGGGCTTTGTATTTAAGTTTTGTTTATCTTGACAGAAGTCTGAGTGCTCCTCAGTCACTCTAAAGTGATATTTGTAATGTAAAAAGAAATTACTTCGTCAGACCCTGCTATTAATTTCTGTCCTTCTAAAAATCTGTACCCATCTCACATTTTAACAGTTATAAGCTTTTGGGTCATTGGTTGCAATGTGTGTGCAATATGCCTATCATAACAGCCAGCCCAATGAATCCAAAATATTAACATCAAAATCTAAACTTGCTTCATCGTGGAAAAATGAGTGAATTCTGGCAAGTTAAATGAACTGGTGTCAGTGGTAGTAGTGCTGAAGCTAGTAACTAATTAACATGTGGTTGAAAACTCTTTGGCAGACTCATTTTAAAACAAGAACCCACTATAAGGGTCTTACATACCACTTAATGGCTGCATGCATTATGACTGAAAGGCAATGCTATCTAAGAATGACTTTGTGTTTATGTTGGAGCCCAAATACACTTTTTTATGCTCTTGTGTTCTTTGTCATGACATGATGATTAAAAAAAGCACACTACATTAGCACATGGAGAAATCATAACTTTAAAGGGCTTGACATGGCTGGTTTTACAGTTGCTAAGTTCTTACTGGACAATCACTGGTCAGGGAAATGTTCAAGGGTTTACAGTAATGGTTCTGAATCAAATACTCAGAGATCACCTTACTGATGAGCTCAGTTTCATCACAGCAGCTTCATCTGAATTCACTGCTCGGTTGGATTCAAGCAGATGGGTTTAAGAAAATAAATGGATTTTCTAAATGACACAAAACATGTCTCCAAAAGACAGAAAATCTTTCAAGAGCTGATTAGTAATGAGCATTATTGATTGTCGTTTCATTTCAGCTAATGCTGTTCATATTTCATACTGTCTGTAGATAAAAACAAAGCACTTTGCAATGCTGTAATGTAGCTGGTAATGGTCACTCAACCACAGCAGACACTGAAATGGAAACGACGGATTTAAATTGCAATTCCTCTCTGAATTCAAATAAAAGCAATTATAAAGTAAAAACCCAAGATTTGCCTTGTAGCATGTTTTATCCAGCCACTTGCTGTCTCTCCTCTGTAACCAGTATCTACACATGGTTGTCTTGCAGCGATTATAACACTTCATGAAAAAGGGAATTGCCTTCATGTCTTCTGATGTTTGCACCTTCATGGTGTATGTGGATGTATACCAACATACTTGATATCTCTACACACTCTTTCTGTCTCCTACCGGCAAGTATCTAAAACAGGCTGTTGTCAGGTACAAGGGTAGAGCTGCAGGGCTGTTAAGAAGATGTATGGAAGCATATGAACCCTCAACCCCATCGTCTAAAACAGTAAAGTACTTCAGTCTGACCGCTCCTTCCCTCATCAGCTGGGCTGAATACAAAACAACACGAGGAGTGGGAGAAGGCTTGAGTGTGTATGTGTGTACTTGCTGGGCCTCGTCTATTAAATGGTCTTTCAAAGAGTCCTTGAGCTTACCTGCCAAAACCAGGCCCAGCAATATACAAGGAGTTGTAAAACCTGCCAGCCTGTGTGTGTGTGTGTGTGTGTGTGTGTGTGTGTGTGTGTGTGTGAGAGAGAGAGAGTGTGTGTGTCCACCACAATGTCAGCCAAGATACTAACAGAGCTTTTATTCCGAGGCTTGGTCGGCTGCCATCTCTTACCCCCCCAAAAGTTGTACCGAGTAGATGGATGAGGAAATGGAGCAGGGAGAAGGAAAGACATTCAGAAAGGATGGAGAAGGAGGAGGAGGAGAATTGAATTTTTTTAATTTGAAGTTTTCATGAGACCCACATGATGAACAGATTAGAAATGCCACTATTTCTGCAAGCAAAACAATAATCCACAATAGAGAAGAAAGGATTAATGAATTAGCCCATAACTGATTTATCAGAAATGATCAATTACTTTTTGGTGACTGATGTTTCGGTCAGGTAAAACAAGTTCAATAATCTACACCCTCTCTCTTGCGAGTTACAGTCCTATGCATAGAGGGGAAAAAAAAACACAAAAATGCACAGAAACAAACAGGTAAATCTTCTTAATACAAGCGAAGACATAGTTCCCATTTCCCTGCTTTATCACATCGCTGTAGCAATGTGAATCTTTGTGGACACTGTGATAGAAAAGCTCAGCGGAGTAGGGGGGGAAGCAACTGGAATGTGAAGAGACGGCACGTTGTAGATTATACGGATACAAAGAAAATATGACTAGAGGAAGTTGTCTAGTCATGTGCTGAAATAGTCACCAATTGTGGTCCTCCTCACTTTGCTTAAACTGAAAATCGCTGTTGCACACTTTCTGTATTCAGCAAGCCATTCTTATCAAGTTTCTCTCTATGCCCTCTCATCCCCTTTCTCTCCTATTCACAAGTTTTCTCTCACAGCTCTCTCTCTGCAGACAAGAGGGTCCATTGTATTTCCTAGGATGCCTTGGAGTCCCAAGCCCGGCATGCCTGTGCACGGTGTGTGTGTGTGTGTGTGTGTGTGTATGTGTGTGTGTGTGTGTCCCAGTTAGAGAACAGCTGTCACATTCAGCCATCACATGCCGCACAGCTGAGACTGACCGCTACCGTTGCCGACAACTTTGTCCATCTTTGTCCCTCCTTTCCTCTTTCATAAATACCTACATCGCAGATTTCTCCCCGCCAATGCTGTGACATTGCCACTTTTTAATCAAAATTTCTTACATTCTTGTCACACACGCTGTAATAATCCCTCTCTTTTAACCTCCCACTTCATCCTTTCTGTCCAGACAGAGTAGGAGTTGAGGTTTCTGGCCAACTTCAAAAAGCATGGACTAAAGAGTGAGAAGCAGACCTTCAAATGACCAATCTGTACAAAATCTCAGGTGTTTAATGTAACACAATGCAGCACTGTCTCTTCTTTTTTTTTAAAGATTCAGGCTGCTTTGATACCAAATGATTTTTATAACTTATTTAACCAGTGATGTTGATTATGTTGTTCAAGACTCACTCAGTTCTACTTTACCCCTATCTCTAGCAGAGCTTTACCGCCTTGTGACCACTGAATCTTTACTTCAGGCCTATTTTCTGTTCACACATAAAAATTCTATAACCCTTATTATGGCTGGTACGGGTGAAAACAAATGTTCTTCTACGACTCCAGAGAAACATTCATCTGACACAAAGACACAGTGTGACCATTAGTGACTTCATAAAGGCAGCCTCTCCTCTCCCATAAAGATGAGTGGGAGATTAGGAGGCCCATCAACAAACACACAGCAACTCTTCCTTAACTCATCACTTACAGTCTTATCTGACATCCTGCACTCATGGCCATTTTTGCTAGACCACTGCTGATTTTCCAACTAAGCTATCATTGTTTCTGTTGCTATTATTGATTAAAATTGCCTGAACTGGTCAGATGGAAAGCTACAGATGACAGGAGCTTATATAACTTATCCCAAGGCAACACAACAACATTGCTATTCCTTGTATTTGAAAAATACCATGTCGCATCATTGCACAAGAACCCTGATCATAGAGAAATTTAGTATTTTCTTATATTAAATATCCTTAAATGGAGGTGGATAGAAAGGAAGGTGACTTAATAGATCTGCACATTTTAGAGGAAACAATAGTGCAGAGTTACATCTAAGCAGAAAGAGATTATTTTCAAGGGAAAATCTTCTAAATATGTAACTTTGATACACAGAGATGACTTTTTACAGGTTTGATCAACAACCAGGTGATAATAAACAGTTATCCAAATAGTTGTCCAAATAATAAAAAAAATACTGTAGTTATCCAATAAATCTGCTTGGGTGGAACGACATTGATTGTTGACTTGCTTTTCAGACACATTCAGTTCTTTTTAACAATGTGGGGGTTTTTTTGTTTGCTTCTTCTTGTCAGTGCAACAATATCACATGTTGGAGGCTGTCAAGCATGATTTCTCCAATAAAGCTATTGTGTACTTTTGTTTAAAGAGCCAACATCAATAAAGTTGAAATTCACACAAGAAATCTATGCTTTCAGAGGTCTATGAGTTTATGGAGCAATCCAAATGTCAAATAGAAACCACAGATAATGTAGCTGACACATGCTGACACACTCACACATTAAGCAATAACCACACACTTAGGAATTTTTCATTAGTTCATACATAGTGGAAACCCTTTGTCTGTTGTTTCAGTAAGACACATTAGCACACACCTGCACACAAACACTGATCACAGCTATGTTAAAATAGCCCCTCAGAAAATGCTGTAACCTCTCAATTAGAGCCGCTCGGTCACTGAGGTTAGTAATGCAAGCTCACCTCTAATAACCGGGAGGTCTCTCTGTCTGTCAGTCTGTCTGTCTCTCAATCTCTGTCAAACAACACACAAAAGCTTCACCACTAATCACCTTCATACCAGTAGGGAGTCTCCCCTATCTCCTAAGTTGTCTTTGAATACAAACAAGTGTGCTGGATAACCGCTAGACTGGTGCAACAAAAATCCAAAAAGTGCTGGTTCAAGTCCCAACTTGATACTTTGGTGTCTGGTGACACACCTAAATAAACATGGAGTTAATGTGCACTGGTGTCCTTCCTGGTTAAGAGGTGGAGATAACTGCCCAAGAGGAAAGACTAAAGTGGATATGTTGTGAGAGAATTACTTGGCTTTCAAAATACCTCGCTAAACTATGCCTCCTGGGGTAGCAAAGAGGACTAATTAAGTCTAGCAAAGTGATTAATACACATACACATTTTAACTAAAACATGTCCAGTCACTAAAGGAGGTAGAAATGCATTCTCTGTGTGAATGGAGTTTTGAGAACCCCTGTAGTGCTAAAAAAAAAAATAGAACCATGTAAAGATGAAGTTCATACAAACTCCTGCTATGGCTGCTACACTGTCACTGCTGTGGATGAGGTCCTATTTTTGTAGACTGTACAGCTGCCAGTCAACACACTTCTGCTAATGGAAAGTTAAAATGATGTGTATTAACTGTATTATAATAACAAGGCACTCAACACTAGTAACATAACGCAGATGTTGTACAATGGGTGTATTTTTGATACATTTTAGAAAGTAATGTTTATTTGACAGTATATTGCTTGTCAGAAGAATAACTAGAACAGAGCTGTTATGTGGTTGTGTTCATTGGTCTGACTTTGTCAAAAGATAGTCCTATGATGCAGCGGAGAATCCCCGCTTTTGGACACTGCTGTACATCATGTCTCTCGGGTCAAAGTGCGGAGCTAAAACCTCTCACCTCTGCTTGCTCATTGTTTACTATCAGTGACTTGAGTCCATAAGCGTGATTAAAAAGGTGGTGTAGCTGCCGTGTTCTTACCTCTGCGTTGAAGGCGCTCCCATCCTCCGCTGCACGCGCCCCCACCGCACACAACCACAGCGCGAGGAGGGTCCGTCTCCAGAGCAACCAGCAGCAGCTGTCCCGCGAGATGGAAGCCATGGTCTGGGCGCGAGCGAAATCAGTTGTTTGTGGTTCCGTCCCAGCGGTGAGATACGAAGCTTCGACCACTTCTTAATCGATGTATTGATAATAGTAATGCTAGTTTATGTGGCAAAAAACCCTAATTAAAACTCTGTTGTTAATTATAACAAAACAAAAAACGCAACAACAGTCTTCAAGAGTGTACTTGCATCCCGCAAAAGAGCTCCATCCCGGATTTACTACATCTCAGTTCCCCTCCATAAGTCGTCTTCACTCGTGTGTGAGAATGTGAGTCCACACTCCTGAGAGTTTACTGTCACCACCGGCACACTGTCACCTTTTCTTTAAGCGCTGTGTAGCGGAGTAGCCCACGAGCGTCTAATTTAATGTACATCAAAATCTAATTAGTAATCTCGAACACGCACTTTACACACAAACCAAGAAATGCCCCCCACCAGCAGCAAACCACGGGAACACTTGACTAAAACATTTAAACGCTAACATGTTCAAACTCGGTGACATAATAACCTCGTCTCGTGATAACGTCCGAAAGACCAGCAGTTACATCTACCTCGAGAAAGTTGCAAACAAAAAACAGCGATGAGCCCAAAGTTGACCGCACTTGACCGACTCCCTCAGCTGTAGCTTCAAGAAACAAGCGGTAAAAGGCTGCCTGAGATCGCGACCTTTCGTTTAAAACATATATTCATTGGTTTCGTTGCCCTTTGCGTCCAGTTTTCCTTTTTACTGGAGGAAATCTTCTCGAAAGCTGATACTTAGCTTGCTGCTCTCAGCCCTGTCCGGAGACAGGGTCTGTGTGGTCACGCTGTGGGAGCAGGTCGGACAGTGGTCGGCTGATCGGACTGTTTCTGAACACAGCGTGAGTCTGCAAGCGTCAAGGTAGACATCACCAACCACGTCCTGCTGTCTGGACTTTCATAATAAAAGAAAAGACTGGTCTGACTTCTGGCAGTTCTGACTGGAAAGAAAACCACAATGGGTCTGTGTTACACTACGACTGCCACAATTTCTGTCAATTAATGTATCGACTATTTTACCGATTAATAGATTCATCTAGACGGTTAATTTTCCTCCGGAAAAAAGCAAAAATGAGAGTTACGTTGAAGTTTGTTTTATTTTGAAAATCTATATGACAACTATATTGCAGTAGAGTACAAAATGTTAGTTTCACATATTAAAGTGCAACACCAACGTTAAACAGGTAACAGCAACATGATAAAAAAAAAAAAAGATTTTTATTTTTTCTTAAAGAGGTCTTGATATTAAAATCAGTCGTGTAACTCCAAAAAAAAAAAAGTAAAATAAAATTCTAGTTTCTATCGAACTATTAACAGAGGGAAAACTCACAGACCAGAAACAGCAGCTCATTTTGTCTTTGCTGTAAAAAAATTGTTCTCTGACTCTGGTAGTACCTTCAAATTTTATGAAGTCGAATTCACGGCAAAGCAGTTGTCCCTAATTTGATGATGATGATGATGATGATGATGATGATGATGAGATTTTGTGGTTATACAATCAGTATTTTAGCAGGTCAGAGGAGCAGGTTAGTTAACATGTATTCCTAGTAAGATGTGTTTCTGCCACTATTCCATATGTTCCCTTACTTCACAACAGAATTAGAAATATGTTAATGAGAACAGCTTTACTTTGGATTCGGCTGTATCTATGATTACAATACAATATATACAAGTACAGGGAGTC